CCCCCACCCCAATTCCCCCCAACGTCCACCCCATACTCCCACAAACCCTAAAAAAAAACACCCCCCCCCCCCCCGCGTCTTGCATATTCGAATATACTTTTTCAGCCCTGATTACATCATGTTTTACTCGGACTTTTCTTCGAGAACCTTAAGAAAGGTAAAAATCTTATTTTTTCATCTCTTGAAAGCTCCTTTTCTTGCCACAACACTAAAAAACACAACTTTTATGGACAAGAAAACTCATCTTGAATGAATTTTCTTATGACAGTTAGGATTCTGATTTTACTATAGAAAGAGAAACAAAATAGTCAATAAAAGAAAAAAGACAGAATCTTTATGGGGGGCAAGTCGAAATATTTTTTAATAAACAAGTGAATTTGTGAAGTATCTTTTGACAAGAAAGCAAACTGGTTGATCTGGACATCAATAAATCTAAGCAAGTCAATCTTGCTATGTTGAGCTCTTTTTGAGAATCTAGTAAGAAAAAAACTATTTTTGCTAAACCCCATTGATCTATATCACACCTTATCAGGAGATTTAGCACTCAAATACGATGAAAACGTCTGCTGGTAAGATGTTGCTTCAGCAGACTCGTTTAAATGTTTGTTAAACCTTAATCAATATTTCAAAAGATAATCGCACAGTGTTAATTCTCTACTTAAAATTAAAGTTGTTACATCATCCCATTCCCACAACGAATATACCATACGCAAACCAGAACAAAAAATATGCTCAATTTGCTCTTTTTGATTTTCGGTAAAAAAGAACCACGTGCAAAAAAGTAAAGTAAAGTGAGGAAGAGAATATGCTAGAAATAATTTACGACGGATTGCTATTTGGTTTTTTGGAATGTCATTGAAAATAAATCTCAACGCATTATATGTACTTCTTACATTCTTTAGTCGTTCGCTAATGTACTTCCCCCACCCTAGCTTGGTTGAAATAATTACTCCCAGAAATTTGTTTGAATTAACGTACGTAATTTTTTGACCACGGTAAAAAATTTCCGGTTGACCCGGTGATACTGCACTATAAACAATCATCGCTTTTGTTTTTGGTACGTTCACCGGTAGCAGACGTTTCATCAGACGTTTCGTATGTGAATCAAATAGACAAAATATTTCTCTTCAAAATGACACAAGAATGAGCCTGATTCATTCATTTGTGAGTGAGCACCGTTCATTTTACAAACAGCTCCAAAATGCAGTTCGAAAAAGTGAAAAAACATTCACAGGACTTTTGCAAAAAGCATTATTGAAAAGACCGAAATAACGACAGAAAATTAGCATTATAGTCATTCGATAGAGAATTCCAAGGGCTAAATTTTTGCCTATTTGATGTGGGTATAACGCATACATTCAAGCTTATACTGACGAAATACATTCTTCGTTTTTGGGGCATTGAAAGTTTTGGGACATTTCGATTTCGGTTGAATTACGACGGCATCTCAACTCTCAGGATCATCTTCTATATACCATTTTATAGAGAATTAAATGGGGAAAATGTTGCAAAAAACAGCTGAATCTTATTATATATATTTCATATAGATAATGTCAATTTACAGAGAGGATCCAAAAGTTATGAATCATCCTGTAGTGTATGTAGTTGTGACTGATAGCTTTCTTCTAGTATTTGAATAATTAGAAATGTGTTCTATGAGAAGTGCGTTGATGGCCAATAATACAAATGTTACTGATCCGATGTCAGTAAAAATAAAATCTAAATATACATCATCATTGACACGATCAAAATTTGAATGAATAAAATTGATATGGACCATACTGGTTCCATTAATGATTGGCGTGTTTACAATCGTAACAGCTGAACAACAAATACAAACAGATGGACAAAATCGTCAAAAGATATACAAATAGCTTATGATCAACGTCAGCACGATATGTTTTTAGCTAGTGAATCACGGAGAGAATATTAATTTGATAAATATCTGAATGATGTATCGTATTATGTACAACTCGGTGAAAACCTTAGTAGCACAGATAAAATAACAATTCATTCAAAAACATTGGTAGTATTTCGGCAAATGGATCCACGACGTAAAGGTGATGCAATACGATCATTACTCGAACAGAAGTTGATCTATTGGCAATCTAATGATCAATTTGATATGTCTGACAGTAATTTAAGCTATACTGAATTTGATCAGATGGTTACGCTAGATGGTCTTCGCTTAGAAAATCTTTGGTTAAATAATGTTAAATTTATTAATTTGCATTTACGCAATTGTATATTTAAAAACTCAATTTTAACAGGATCAAATTTTACGAATTCAATCATTACTGAGATAGATTTTAGAAATACAGAATTAGATCACATCGATTTTACTCATACAACAATCACACACACAGATTTTACATCGGCTAATTTAAATCGCTCTAATATTCGAGTGGATGATGAAGCAGGAAATATTTTTCATTTTCTTATTCTTCCAAATGGAACATACAAACTGAATAATAAAAAACAAATTATTAAGAATGATGGTGAATCCGAGATTCATGGATGGCTAATAAAACATGGAGAAATTGTGAGTATTAATTATCATGCAGAAAATAGCAAGTTAAAAATAAACGATACAGCAAAATATGGTGATAATTATTTTTCGCAAAAAATTAGCAATGATGAAGATGATGGAGCTGTAATTGTGCAATATATGCAGCTTGATAAGTATTATCGTTTGATTAAGAATGAACAAGCTGAATATCATCTATCTGCATGGCTTGGTGGTGTAACTTATAGAGAAAATTATGCTAGTATTAAATGGAGTTTTGAGCCGTTTATGCTACCAGAGGATCATGGGATGTTAGGTACTTCTTGTTTTACTAGACAAATCATTGAGTTTAGAAAAGTCGCTCAACTATATCGTGCTCGTAGCACATGTTCACAACCACTGAAAACTTAACTAACGGGATGAATTTTAGGTCAAAAATCGATAAAAAAAGGGGGTCTTTTTGCGTTATAAGTTCAAGAAGGGCTTGTAACAGGGAGCTCCTCTATTGTGTCCGTCACTTTATTTTATTATTCTCTACACTACAGATCCAGATTGAGGTATAACTCCATATAGAATAAACAGTAGAGTTTCTAGCACGATATGTGACGTAAAATATTTCTGAAAATCGATCAATCGATGGTATACTCAGAATATCTATTTTGAGGAAGTTCAGATAGGAACTGACTAGCGTCCCCAAAAGAGTATGGATAACTTGAATGGAAAATATTTAAGTTTGCTTTTCGTGCATAAAGTTGCCGTGTCATAGATGCTGTAACGGGTGTCCCAGAATAAATGAGTCTCTCACCATTTTGCTTCTAACTTGGTTAGGATTTGTTTCCGAGACTCGATGTTTTTTTTGAAAGATGCGCTGCGAAATACTCTAAAAAAACCATAATTAAACTATAATTTCAGAACTTCAATCAAGAAAACTAAGCTAATTAGACGAAAGTCGAAAAAAATGAGAACTTTACAAAATCAAAAATGATTTCTTATGTTAACGTTTTGAAAGTACGAAAAACTGAATTAGCCGTTTTGTAGCCCTGACTTCGATCTATCTTTTAGCTTCACTTCAAATTTTTCACATCAAAAGCCACGGCGAAATAATAGTTTTTCTACCGGTTCTCACGCATTTTTTTATTCATTTTTTAAATTTTGGATATAGTAGTGCTTTCAGTAGAAGTCCCATAACTCCATCAAAATAAAAGCTTTTTCAGTCGGGTTTGTTTTGTAATTGTTTTCGGATCATTTTATTGTTTCGGAATTGTTATGTTTGGTAAAGTTTCCAAATAGATTTTAGTTGTGCTACAATGATTTTTGAGGAGAAAAAACGGAGATCCGATGAAGTTTTTTTCGGAACAGAAGCAATTAGTATCATATTTCGGTTAAAATGTAACAGAAGGACTGTTATAAGTGGATATTTTTATACTGAGAAATTCTGTTTTCGTTGAGGCAATATGAAATGTGAAGATGTTCTTTGAACATTAACGATGCGAACCGTATAAACTCGAGACTTAGACATTTTAGACTTAAAAATGATCAAGATACTTCTTATATAACGGAATTTTGCTACATGGTCTGATGACTGCGTGCATCGGCTTTAGTATTGCTTAAGCATTATTCATTGGATGAAAGTTTTAGATTTCAAGTAACATTTCATTTTCAGACGTTTCTTTCTTCTGACCAAGCATAGATGCTGAGATCTTCTGTGAAGACGCCACAGAAGGGCAACGTTAGGGACCGGTCTAGTAGCGTCCTCATCTCAGATCTCAGTAACTATGCTTGTTCAGAAGAAAGAAACATGTGAAAATAAAATATTACTTGAAATCTAAAACTTTCACGCAATGAACTTCAGTTCCATTTTGTAACATCTGAATGCTAAAGCGATACTAAAGCCGATACACTTAGTCTTCAGTCCACGTACCATGGAGTAGGTCGATTTCCATGTTAATCTACTTTTAGACGTTTTCATATTCGTGCTTCGAGTCAATAATCAATAAACATATGCCGATCTAGACAGAAATGTATAGTTCAGGACAGAGTGGATATTTCCGGTGAGTAATTACGCGAGCAAGGGGAAGCCCGATGAGGTGTGTAACGAACATAGCTTCAGCCCATGATAAGTTTAAGTTCATGAAGATTAAGAAAAAACTGCTTCAGTCAGAAGAAACTTCGGCGTGTCGAAGCAAGCGTCGAAGACGCCCAGTGAGACAAGCATTGTGTAAATGGTTGCGTAATGGTTCTTGTTTTATCAAGCCTTTAGCTGTTTAAAGTAGTTTCCCATCGATTTCTTCTAGTCTCCTTCGGCTTTCTTTAGTTTTCCTTCAGAATCTTTAGTTTCCTTTTGTCTGATTGCACTTCTCTTCGGTTTCCCTTAGTGTCCATCAGTTTTCTAGCAATTTTTGCCCCGGTGCCTCTCTCACGAGAGATGGCACACCCATGTCAGACACACGACTGCTTCCAAGATACAGATGCTCCAATGTAGTGTTGTTGTGAAATGCATCGGCTAGGATCGAGGCACTGACTGATGTGATCTTGTCGCCTCATAACAAGAGCTTCTTGCACTGTTTCTTGATGATGGTCTGTTTGATCACGATCTTGATTGCTTACCAGTTGTTTTCTTAAATTCATCGTCGATGTAAAATATAAGTTTATGCATTAAAACCAGTACATTGAAATTATTTTTTTTTCTATCAAAATCAATTGAAGTCGGTTTGCCTCGGCCATTCCAGTTGTCAAAAATATTGTCTTTAAAGAAAGTAATAGATTAGACTGTAATACTTGCTCGGAAACCGCGCCAAAATTCATTATTAGCGTTTTCAAAATCAGTATGGAATGCTCAATAGAAGTTACTTAAGTAACTTTTTCTGTTATGATAAGATTGATGTATTGTACGGCATAGGAGAAAAGAAATCTAAATAACGACAGCCAAAACCGTTTGAAATCCGACTCGAAATGGACTTGAGATTTAGATTCTCGACCTCGTTTCAGGGACTCACAGTGACTTGTTTGCATCATGACTTTCGACTCGGAATTGTCCCCCCCCCCTCCTTCGGCCTAGCCCTGGCAGATTCATCTTTATATCACTTTCTGCATTAAAAACACAAAACATTATTAGGCGTCTAGTAAACAAGGAGATATCTGTTTTCGCACATGTAAGATATTCGTCTTTCTGTTCTCTCTCCTCTCGTTTAATGTGTTAAAGAAAAATTCTTTTTTATCTCTAGTGCGTTACGCAGTAACCCCCCCCCATAATAGAAGCCTCCCCCATATTAGAAGCCCCCCCGTATTAGAAGCCCCCTCTGGAGGAATCGATGTGGAAGGTGTATTAGAAGCCCAAGGGCTTCTAATACG